TTTTAAAAAAAAAAAAAAAAAAAAAAAAAAAAAAAAAAAAAAAACAACATATTGCATGTATGTCAACCAGTCTCTCAAAACTCAAATCAACTATTTCACTGATGAAAAGGGGGGGAAGGAAGAATATACTGAGGAGCTCGACAAAACAGTAACACAAAACATCCGAATGGAAACCACAACCCAGATTCGTGCATCACTTGTTACCTCGGAAGTACATATAGATTTTCTGCACAACAAAGAACCAACCATAGAGAGTTGAAGTGATTAAACAAGAACAACAAATACATCTGAAGCACTTAAAAGTGGAAACATACATACATCAATCCATTCAGTATTTAATTTTACTATTTATGGTTAGACAAATTGTGCAGTCAAATGGATAGGAAAAAACGAATACAAGGAAAATAAACAACAACAATCGATAGAGAGAAGAATTGAGAGAAGAACCCAAAGAGCTGAGGTTTAAAAGTTAAAAAAAAAAAAAAATGAAAATCAGTTTCTTTGTTGCTAACCTGAAGAACCCACAAGCTTAAAAGTGTCTCCAAGCAAAACAAGGCAAATCCGATTAAGTAGAAAATCTGTAAGAAAACAAAGACTTTAGCTGTATCCATAATGAAACAAGTTAATAATAATAAAAAACAAAAACAAAAAGAACAAAAAACATGCATGACGTTAATTTCTCATACCATCTAAAGCATCCTAAACACAAAAATAAACAAAATCAAACTGATGCTTGGATATTAAGATACATGAATAAAGGAAGGCAAATTATTCAACTTACCCCCACCAACACATGATCAGAGAAGACTGATATTGCTGCAAGAATGCCCCTGAGGAAACAAGAGAGAAAAGATAATTACAAGATCAAAGTTAAGGATAAACTACGAAACCACAAAAACTAAAGCTGCAGAGATCAGTATGATTCTTATGAAATCCTCATATAAAACTTGCCACTATATAAGCCCAACCAACGGAAAAGTTGTTCTCTAATGCGGAGTCAATGTAGAAGGCATATAATATTTCAGGAGGAAAAAAAATGCACGATAATTCTCTCCCTAGGGGCTAGTGAAAAAAGCAAGAATGCCACATCTCAATTGATGAACCGCATAAGTCGGCTTCAAAGCTCGACCACCATCTCTGAAGTCTGAAGTACCATGCCACTTTGTTAAAGAACCCAAAATCACTGAAGATTCAAGTGTCAAGGGAGGAGGAACAATTTATGCCAATTGAGTCTTGGCCCTTATCACATTAGGGGGGACCCTGAAGTACGTTAAGCACAATGTACAATGGAAAAGGTCAAAAGCACTTTAATGTGGTAAAAAAGCAATAAATATTACTATGCTAGAAACTTCCTATATTGGATCACGCTCAAGCATAGAACCTTGACTCTTTAACCTTCAATAAAGGTGGTTCTCCAAAATGTCCGGTGAGTTTGCAATTCTATGAACCCCACACTACCTTTTTTTTTTTTTGAACAAACCCCGCACTACCTTGACAAATCCAAAACCTTAAGATTATTACATATTATTTTAGCTAAAATTTAGTTCATGATGCAAGGGATGAAGAAATATATGATTTTAAATATACCAAAGTTGGAACTAGAATATAATTACTTTATTCTTTTAGAAATTTAACATATAGGGACCATCAGATAGCTATCTCATCCATCAAATTCTTTGTTTATTAAAACAACAAATACACCATGATGTGATAACCTGTTAAGCATGAATCATTAAAGAGTCAAGAAGAAAAACAGAAACAGTCCTATAGATAATGTGAAATATTATGCAGGAAACAATGCCACTATTGCCTGCTAAAACCCCCAACAAAAATCTCATAATAGATTCATAGGACCACTAAACAAGAGAATACAATGTTGATTGTCCGCCTCATCAAAAATAAGTTCCTTAAACTAAAACACACAAAAAAGAAGAAGAAGAAGAGTGAGATTTAAAATTAATAAGAACTTACGTCAATGACTCTCCATGAAAGACGATAGGAGGAGCAATAGCAGCAAATATGCAAAAACAAATGTGGAGCTGCAAATTCCAGTACCATTAAAAACAAGGAAACATAAGACAGTAACTACAAGAAGAAGCAGGAAATGTCACAGTGCATGAACCATACTCACCAAGTAGAACAGGAAAAACCAACCAAACTTCAATGCACTGTCCGTCCTGCGATTTGGAAGCAAAGATAATCACATGCTACAATTACCAGCACTCTTTTCAGAACTTTCAAGCTATGACCACAAATTCTTTCCAATTCAGATATTTAAAATTCATTCAATAAGTTAAACAGCATATATGCTTTTGATATCAACGGTTTAAAAGGTGTTATTGAGGCTTGCCTTGAGACAAAGGCTAACCCAAAATGCATTGAGGCTTTGATTTTTAGGTGGGAATCTCCAAAGGCTAGCACATCACAGTATGAGGTGTGCACGATGACTTTTGTGTATAAGCAAATGAGGATTATGCAAATAGAGAGCATAACTTGCTAAACTTAGTCTGATACATAGTTTAAACATTAAATATATATATATATATTAAAAAAGAGCCTCTTTTGTAATAATATTACCTGGGAAAAAACAAAGAAATAACCAATCAAGAAAAACACAAAGTTAAGGATCAAGTGGAAAGCTTGATAATTTAGGTTAATAATGTTGATTTCACATTTGATGAGGGCAATCTTCCTTCCCTACTGTGAAATAGCTACCCATTTCATGCATGTCTGTCTACCAAAGAATAAGTGCAAACACTAACAGCTGGCACAAGCGTATGAAAAATTATAAAGAAAATACATTATTATCTCAAAATACCTGGCCAAGCATTAGTAGTCATATAAGAGACCTAGGATTGAATCCTACCAGGTTGAAGGGATTATGGGGCATGGGGAGGCCTACTGACGTCCCTCCCCCCCGGAAAAAAGTGTACATGAATTTTGAAATTTCCCACAGATGGCACGGGAATTGGGAAATGAAAAGCCAAAACAAGAACAGCTGAATACCTCATTGCGCGGTAAAGTGGCCTATACCATAGGACATATGAAAGAGGGCATCCAAGTAGAGCATAGATTGTTGCCAGGAAAAATATTTTTACACCTGGAAATAGTGAACCACGTCAGAAGTTCTATATTGCAGCCTGTCAACAGTTTTATGCATATGCCCAAAGTATGGAAGAAAAGAAAATATTATAAACCTTACCTCCACCTCTAATCCAACAAACTGTCACAGCAATAACATTAAATACAAGGCAAAGAACTATGCCTGCAATGGCAAGTGGGGTAAAGGGCAAAAAAAATATCAGTGAAACAGGCTAAGTTATATATAAAAGAAATGCAGATCAATTGAAGTCTTCTTACCAACATTATATCAGAAAGACAATATAAATGAAAAAAGGAGGAAAAAAATTTACTCTTGTATCATCCAATTTCGAATATTAACCTTGCAAGACTTCTTTCTGGTGGTGGTCATGATGGCGGAGGTGGCGTAGGAATAAGCAGATTAATAAGTCACTTTAGTTGTCATGAAACTATCCTCTATATTTAAACTCAACTAAAACATATAAATCATGCTGGACGATCAGCACTTCATTGATATTCAGGCAGTCAATGAAGTAAAAAAACAGTAATTTGATCATGAGTAATCATATATCAAAAACTCATCTATGACAAATGAACAGGAGATGAGGATTAATTTTTGCTTTATTTTATTATTTCATTCATTTGGCAGCCCAGAGGCAGGGAGGGGGTGTTTCTTAAAGAAAGCAACTAGCTAAGACAGCAGTATTACCAGTATATGGTGATCAAACTCAGAAATCGACACATGGAATAAGGAAAATGCTCCAATCAGAAAAATGAAGCCATCCATACCTAACCAACTTGCAAAAGCCAAATACTGCAACTTCTGAGCATGAACAGGAATTTCATTGCCTATATCATGATGAATAATTGGGAAACATGGAGGCCAGTTTTTATCATCTGAAGGGACACCAGCTGAAAATGCAATATTAGAAGAAATAAATCAGAAAAATATCATTATCCAGGAAAAGCATATAAAACTATTCTCAAAGCAATATATACGTATTGGCCTTCATCTCATGGCTTACCACTGGAAACAGTATCTTCCCTTCGTTTAATTTCCTGAAAAATATAGCATGCATCAGTACTATTGAAAACAAGTATATAAATATCTTAAAAAGTGTACACAATCAATATATATATTGAGATAATGGCAACATCTAAAGAAGTCATCATCAAATCATGAAGAACTCTGGTTGTTATTTTGAAGGCAGTCAAATAAGTAATTTACAAATAAGAAAATACAAACAGATTTATGAGGTACAGTTGCAAGTATATTCTCAATAATGAAAGGCAAAACAAACACGTTCTCTCCTTTTTAGATCCGCTTCCCAAGCTGAAAATTCCTTCTCCTTTTTCTTAGGATCCTGCCATATCACACCACATGATATACAACTCAGTGCTCCCAATACTATGAAACAATAAATTCAAATTGTAAATTGATTACAATCATTGAATCCAACGGTACATCAACAATTGCATCATGTTTTTGGCCAAAACCCAGTGTTTGAGTAACCATTTGAGGAATGCGTGACTTTAGAGCAGCACTGCCATTCTGCATACAAGGGACAATTTGGATGGCTTGATGATCAATATGAATAATGAAAACAGGTTAAAAAAAAATATAAAAACAAAAATCCAAAATTGCATGATGCAACTTGTAGTCATAAAAACAACGAGAATTAAAGTATATATATATCAGCTTAGTAAATAATGCAT